GACATCTATCCTAAACTCGGTCATAAACTTCTCTACACACCTATGACCGGTGAAATAAAATGCCCTAAGTTATACCTTTGCCTTGCGCATTCCATTTCATCTCCTCCAATGTCGATGCAACACATGCACCAACACGATCAACAATGATATGATCCACTTCATATCATCACGTGATCATATTGGTTCATCGATCTTGACTTCACTTGCTTTTCACCATTGCCTTTGTCCATTGGCGCCAAGTCTTGCTTAAGCTTCACCGCCATGCGGTCAATCGCTCCAAAGCCTCCAACTTGCCATTCACGCTTGCAACCGGTCCATCAAGCCAAGTCATGTCTTGATCTTTTCCACCTTGATCACATGACTCAATGTCGTGTCTCATTTGCAATGAGCTCCTTCATCATCACATGTGTGAGCTTTGCAACATCTCCAAGCCATTTTCACCTTCATGGCATATGTTGCTCACACATATGTACCTGTGGACTAATCACCTGTGTATTTCACATAAACACAATTAGTCCACCTAGGTTGTCACTCAGTTACTAAAACCATACAAGGACCTTTCAATCTCTCCCTTTTTGGTAATTGATAACTCTACAAAGATATGGAAATTAAGTTCTTTTGGATTCATGCTGCTTGCCCAAACACTTTTACCATGTGTAAATAATTTTGGACAAGTAACACAAACCCGAAATGGTAGTTTTAGCTCCCCCTACATATGTGCTAGAGTGTTTGTTTTGAAGCTCGCACATATGCATAGATTGAAAATTGTAGAAGAGTAATTACTACTAAATGATGCTAACGTGTATAGAGTAAATCTTTGAAGCGTGATACCAATCGGAGTTGCACCTTTAAGTTCATCCTTAACACCATGGTTAGCTAGATATCACTTGGAAATAAAATCACTAGATACCTCGTGAGATCAACATTAAAACCAAGGTAATAGCATTACTTGAAAAACATACCAAGTGTCTAGCTATCATCCTATGCATGCTAGTTTTCATTTCATCAATCAAATTCTACAACTAGCATACCTCACACAAGCATGCATATTGAATTTAAAAACTTATATAATGCAAGCAAGCACATGAATATGCACATAACAAATGCAATCAATTAAAGTTCATGAGCTTGCTCCCCCTATTTGTGTACTTCTCTTGTCCAAGAATTTTGATCAATCTCTTTTCTTCAATATTGCTCCCTCTTTGTCCATGTCCATATCCATGTCCAACCTCTACTTCTTTGTCTCAATCTCTCCCAAAACTTTCATATCTTATCTCTCCCCCTTGTACAATCTCAATCTCAAGGCTTTCATATCTTTGTACAATCTCTCCCCCTTTGTCATCAATTTTCATAAAATATATGCTTCTCATTGATGCAAAGGTATGCATTTGGGGTAGATGGTTGAGGCTTGAATCTTGCATTTTTTATAGACATCACTTGATTGTTGGAATGACACCACTTGTAGATACTACTTGTAACTTGTGCCACTTGTATCTTGTGTAGGGCTTCTTGAGATACCACACATAGGATTTTTGATCTTGATATTAATTTGTGTGACACCTCCCCCTATGTGATAGCATGGGTCATCCATTTGATACACTTGAGCTCTTGTAGGTGAGGGATGCATTCTTCATTTGATGATCACTTAAAGTTGAGGATCACTTGTGGAACTATTGTCTTACATGATTGATACCATGTGTAGATGTGATATCACTTGAAAGAATCTTCTAGTATAGAACCATTGGTTGGATTTATCAATAAAAACCATTTCTTGAACCTTTGTTATCTTTATGAGTACCACTTATAGGATATCACTTGTGAGCTGATCTGGACATCACTTATGAATTCTTGATGAAATACTTAAGTCTAGATACCACTTGAAACAAACAATCTAGATATCCATTTGCATTGTTGTCTTGTGCTTGTACTTTTGTTACTTATCATGAGCTTCTTAATTGACTTGAACTAAATTGATTTGCCTAAGCTTCTAAGTCCGATTTGAACCAATGACAAATTTCTTCACACCTCTTACAAGGGTTATCTTGCCAATGTTGTACTTGTCACTTGTTGGCAATCCAAATTAAATCAAGTACTTGGGTTCACTAGCTCATGAACAAATTCATATACTAACCATTAGATCAACTAATCATTCAAGCAGTAGTGGTAGGTTATGAATTTAAACATTTCATTTGTTATGCATGATCCTATGAAGTATGAACTATATGCACTAACCGCATACTAGTAAGGGATGAAATGATCATGCACATTACAATGATATCTTTGCTATGTTGGACTAGAGGATAGTCACATAGATTCCAATTCATTACTCCAATAGCAATGCGAAGTCCAATTATAAGCTTGGTGAAGACCAATAAATACCATTTTGAATTTCATTCTTCACCAATATGAAATGAATACCACTTATGATCAAGTGCACTTTCTTGTTGTGGTTGGCTTGTTTCATCTTTTGATCAATGCTTGCATGAGAGCATTAATGTGAGAGTACCACTTGAAATATAATGATTAGCTTTTTTTTTGGGTGTTGCTTGCTTTTCTTGATCAATCCTTTTGATTGCTTCAACTAAGCATCTCAAATGTCCCTCGGATCACCACTTCCATGTTAGCCTTCCAAGTACCACACTTAGTTTACCTACTCATAGGCGGCAATCCCCTACACTAGGGAGAAGTGACCTCTCTCCAAGAACCATTCTTGACACTCACTTGAAATAACTTGATTGATTGATCCAAGTTATGGACTTAACTTTGATGAGTAACCTTGATTCCTTCTTTAAGTCATTTTCTTTCTACTTGTTTAAGTCTATTTCTTTCTACTTGTTTAAGTCATTTTCTTTCTACCAAATAATCTCTAATCAAATTTAGAACTTAAACTTCATCTTCAACTTGAGTTTGATCTTGATCTTCATCTTGAGTACCAAAAGTGTGCAAAATACACTTCACAATCAAATGGCCTTGTACTCTTTGCTTGTCATGCCTCTAGATCATCTCAAAACCAAACTTAGGTACCTCAAACACTTGTAAACATGTTTCCAACTTGAGGACCTTTCAATCAAAGTAACTTTAGATCAATCCAACATTTGTCACTTTTCTGGCAGATTTTGTACTCTTCAAAGAAATATGCATATCTCCCAAAGTACAAATCCAAATACCACGAAATTTGGTGGAGATGTGCTTAACTAAGTTATCTAGCAGCTGTAAACATTTGAGCATCATTTGACTTCTAGATTACTACCAGATTTCAATTCTTCCACCACTGCTACATGCTGAAAACTGCTGCACTATATCTGACAAGATCCACTTCATATCATCACGTGATCATATTGGTTTATCGATCTTGACTTCACTTGTTTTTCATCGTTGCCTTCGTCCATCAACGCCAAGTCTTGTTTAAGCTTCACTGCCACGCGGTCCATCGCTCCAAAGCCTCCAACTTGCCCTTCACGCTTGCAACCAGTCCATCAAGCCAAGTCATGTCTTGATCTTCTCCACCTTGATCACATGACTCAATGTCATGTCTTATTTGCAATGAGCTCCTTCATCATCACATGTGTGAGCTTTGCAACATCTCCAAACTATTTTCACCTTCATGGCATATGTTGCTAACACATATGTACCTGTGGACTAATCACCTGTGTATCTCACATAAACATAATTAGTCCACCTAGGTTGTCACTCAATTACCAAAACCATACAAGGACCTTTCAGTCCATCACGCACGGACTCCTCGCTTGACCTTCTCCATTGCCATCGACCGTCTCACGCTCAACACTTGCACATCACAAAGCCAAGAGACATGTTGCACACATAACTCATGCCATGGTTAGTCTCAAGCACACTTAAGAAAAGCTTTGATCACCTGGACAATCACTCATCACTCACAGTGGTCAGTTCGCATGAAGAAATATGCTAACTATACCTCTGAAGACACATGATGAGAACTCACAACCTGATCACGCACCTACTATCTCATGTAGAAAGAATCAACTCCAATGTGCTTCGTGGTGTACTCAGATACTGACTGGGCTGGCTGTCTCGAGACATGGAAGTTCACCTCAAGCTATGCGGTGTTCTTTGGGGACAATTTTGTTTTGGTCATCTAAGTGCTAGTCTCGCGATCTAGTGCAGAGGCTGAGTTTTGCACCTTGGCTAATGTTGTCGCCTATCTAGCCGTGCCAACTTCTTGAGCTTCGTGCTCCTTTTCATCGTGCCACATTGGTCCACTGTGATAACATGAGCACCGTCTACTTATCGACCAATCATGTTTAGCATTAGCGCTCGTAGCATATTGAGATCAATCTTCACTTCATTCGAGAGCATGTTGCTCTTGGTGACATCTGCATATTCCTACTACATCACAGTATGCCATATTTTCACTAGAGGGCTATTGTTTTCAGCCTTCACGGAGTTTCGATCTAGCCTAAACGTTCATGGTGGCGATGCTTCTAACTGCGGGAGTGTGTTAGGTGGATGATTAGGCCAGCCCTCCTTGGGCCTTCGGGTTTTGCCTTCTGCTGGGCCTAGAGCCTGTGTAGTCTTTGTAGATTGGTTATATCTATTTATAGGCAAATATTCCACGGTGGTCATACTTCTATAAACCACTCTAGGATTACTCTTGCATATATATATATATATATATATATATAGAGAGAGAGAGAGAGAGAGAGAGAGAGAGATAGATAGATATATATGTGCCTGTGCTCTGCAGTCACTAATCGATATACTATTTTCCCGATCCATATTCAATTTCAGTATACACCACTAATAATGGAATCTTAATTTACATGCCCTGATGCTCTCAAATCCTGCCACACTAATATTTGGTCATCAGCTTCTCTTTGGGTCATTGATATCCTGTCACAAAGTTTTACATGAAGGAGCAGATTGCACTCACATGAAGTGTTAATCTATGAAAATAGAAAAGGTTCTCTCAGAAATGATGTATGTGAATTGGCCTGCTCTTATGACTAAACTATGATCTGCAGGCACTAAATCTTCGTGAGAACTCGGATAGTTTCAACTTTATGGCACAGTTTCCATTTTACAGGGAGATTCTTTACAAGCTAGACTTCAAAAACAAAAAAATTGGGCCACCTGTTATTTTTGACATGGACATGAGTCCTGGAGATTTTATCTCACTTATATATCTCTTGAAGGCACCTATTGAAGTAATAGATTTAAAGGTATGATTAATGGAACAGTGTTCTGCTCCACTGAAATAAAGATTTCATTCCTTTTTTATGAATGCAATTTTACTATAATGTTATAGGGAATTTTGGTCAGTGGCAATGGTTGGGCCCACATTGCAAGCATTGATATCATTTATGATATATTACATATGATGGGCCGCGATGACATTCCTGTCGGTCGTGGTAATACCAATGCATTAGGAACTCCAATTCTTGGTTGCAACTATGCCAGTATTATTCCCCAAGGTAGTGGGGGACTTATTGACTCGGACACTCTCTATGGGCTACCTCGGTCATTGCCAAGAAGTCCTAGAAGGTATCTTTATATAGCTACCTGATGACATGCATATAGATAGTGCAAATGACCTAGATACTTACAACTCTATGCTTTCCTTTGTCAGGTATACTGCTGAAAATTCAGTAAAATATGGTGCTCCTAGAAACACTGACCATCCAGAACTTCGGCAGCCATTGGCTTTTGAAGTTTGGCAGTCTATCAAAGAGCAGCTTCCTCCAAGTGAGAAGATCACTATTCTTACCAGTGGACCTCTTACAAATTTGGCCAATATAATGCTCTCTGACAGGAACACAAGTTCTGTAATAGAGGTCAGCTCTTTGAAACCTTTTGGTTCAGGGCAGTTCCAACTGTATTTTGATCTATGCTAATTTCAGTATTTTCACTGCCAGTATTGATATGTAAATGTTCCTTATATGCAGAAGGTTTATGTTGTTGGAGGTCATATCAGAGGTGAAAATGATTCCAAGGGAAATGTGTTTACTGTTCCATCAAATAGATATGCAGAGTTTAATATGTTTCTTGATCCACTAGCTGCGAAAACAGTCCTGGAGTCCTCTCTGGATATCACACTGATTCCTCTGATGTCTCAAAGAAAAGCTGCTTCCTTTAAGTCTATCCTTCACGCTTTGAAGCATACTGATCACACTCAAGAATCAAGTTTTGTCCACCGCTTGCTGTTTTTGCTACATGAACTTCAGCAGAAGCATCGGCTGTATCACCATATGGTAAATGCCCAGTTCATTCTACTTGTCTGCTATAACGGCATGTTGTCAAGAAAAAAAAACCCTGCAACACCTCTGATTTTGTGATCACATCACGGTAGTTTTAACTTCACAAGATTTTGAAGCAGTGGAACTTTATCATTTCTCCAGAGGAAATAGCATAGCTTACGATTGCTTTGATTTATTCCTCTTCCAGATTCTAATTCAGTGGTCAAGTAGCCCTAAGAGTCATGTTATGCATTCAAACCAATGATAAGGTTATGGAACCTAAAATTACTACAGGGCAAAATATACACAAATATTTATAGTTGATGCAGTACCTTTTTTTTTTGTGGGGGGTGATCCTCTTAATCACAGGATATATTTCTGGGAGAAGTTCTTGGTGCTGTCTACTTGGTGGAAGGATTTAGTATGAGACCGTTCATACAATCAATGCCAATAAGCGTGGTTGCCAACAGCTCAAGAAGCACGAACGGGCAGATTGTGGTCAACAAGCAGAGTGCAAATTCTGTAAAGGTTTTGGTTGATTTCAGTAGTGGAAAATACTACAGCCGAGTTGGCAAATCTTTACGCAACAAGGAGCAATCTGCTGTTGTTGGTAGTTTCGCAGAACAGAATACCATCGGGAGCAGGCCACCTGAGATTCTGAGAAATTGAAGGCATAAACACAAAGGATTAGACAAAGCAGCCTGATAAATTGATGGCATAAACCCAAATGAAAAATTTTATGTACCATGGAGACCCATGGGCACGTATACATGGGTTTGCTGGTTGTTACTCCACTCTTTCATTTCCATGTCAACTGAGATCCAAAAATCCATTGATTTTTTTTTTCTCGAATACGCAAAAGATTTGCGCATCTTTGTAATTAAGGTAGAATTTACGCATCTTTGTAATTAAGGTAGAAATATTTGATACAGACAACGCGCTTCTGACGAATGTCCTTGGAGGTCTACAAGATTATAGCCGTGGGCTGGGCCATTCTAGCAAATAAAAAACAAAGTTCGATATTACACAAAAGATAGACAACCGGTGTAAGGGCAGAGATGCAGCCTAGGAAGAGGGCTTGCGCTTCCACTGCCGCCGACGCAAAATCCATTGATTTTTATGCAATGCCTAATTGCAGGTTGCTCCAAGTGGATGCTGCTTTTTTAAAACGTAAATGGCAGGAGCTCCACTTTCAATTAAGATAAACATATGTACAAGAAGGGGCAAAAGCCCCTAATAGGCTACACATCTTTTCCAAAGGATTTTTGCTAGGAGAGACTCCAAAACTAATAACCCGAAACGGCCTATGGGGGGTGCAGACGCTGGTGCGGCGAGACTCTAGCGTGTCATATGGAGCAGCGAAACAGAGACGAGACAGAGGAATGGGTGACCGACTTCCCCTACTCTCAGCGCTGTGTGCATGCCTAGAGGAGCATGGCAGCAGCTTGCTTTGCAGTGGGTTAGGAGACATGCCTGGGTGGGCTCTTTTGCGGTGTTTGAGTGTGTTGCTTTATTTTTTAGATAACGGAACAAATTCCAGCCTCTACCATCTATAGCTGAGAGTTCAAACAATTTGCATTGGGCTCTTTCATCAAGTGATATGAAGATCAGTTAGTTTGCCATAGTTTTTCTTTAGGGGAAGATAATAAGATGGCTCCCTGTGCTCTGATTGATTATTTGCCTTATGATCTGTCTAGGAACAATACCAAAGTGCTTCAAATGAGGATTACTTGACTTATTAGGTCTGCCTCCAGCCTAAATTAAATCAAAACCTAAGTGAAATGGAGTCTCTATCGTTCTACTGCAAGAGTTTACTATGAAACTTCATACACCTTAAAGTTCACCAATGGGTCTACAATCTAATTATATGAATACTAGTTAATCTAATGTGGATTAGGATCACTGATCATAATTCTCACAAAAAAAGGATAAGTGATCATAACTTGAAGCTAGGTAATCTGCCATCGGTGAAATAGATCAGCGATGAACTGAGTTGATGCCAGTAGTGCACGCCCAGTGCACGGATAACGCCTGCTGTTGTTGTTGGGGGAAGAAGAGGTGGTGGTCTTCAGGCTGATCTGGAACTTCTCGAGATCAGTGTCTTAAGATTTAGGTGATCAGTGGACTTAGAGTCATGCTTGCGGTGCCTTGCACCACTTAACGAGGTCCGTCTCCCTTTATATCATAGTGTTGTTCACCCTGGTTTGCAACCATCGGTTGTTAGATGCACTTCTGATCGTGACGCGAAGCGGGAACGTAGCGCTCCCCTTGACTTGGCATGCAATGTGTCTGGGCGCTAGCCCATTAAAAGCCTCATGTTTGGTTTTGATAATTGAGACAACTAGTGTACTAACTTTTTCCTAAGTGTTGATCAAGCTAGGTGAAGTTCACATGAAGACGGTGATCAAGGCTAGGAGTTGGATGAAGCGCGATCAATTCAAATGGAGCAAGCTCACACTTGGAGAAGATGAGAGGAGCAAAAACCTAAAGGCAAAGGTATATGCTATAGAGGCTTCACTTTTGTTGGCTGAGATGCAATAGAGTGTATGGTCGGGTTTGGAATAGATAGTCATATTATTAAGAGGGAAACTCTAAAGCAAACACGATTATCCAATGCCACTGTGTATTGATTTACATGTATATGCATTAGACCTAGTGATGTGGTGAGTTGTAAGTGAAAGTGTTTTTGAAAATATTTTGTAAATGCTAACTCAGTGCTTTTAGATGTTTAGCAAACAATTTTAGAGTTGGCACACTTGCGAAAAGGAGGGGTGAAAGGCACTCGGTGGTGCTGTTTAGCACTCACCAAAGTGTTGAACCTGTGCGCTGACTTGAGTGAAATTTCAGTCTAGCACCTTGCCTTCCGGTCTATGATGTATCACCGGAGCAGTGCACTGGTAGGTTTTGGTGTTGGCTTTGTGCATGTGTGGGAGATTCAAAGGCTCCATCGGAGTCATCCGGTGTATGCGGATGTGAAAGGTCCTAATATGGCTAGAGGGGGGTGAATAGCCTATTTAAAAATCTACAATATCACTAGACCAATTTGATTAGTATGACAAATAGCGAAATGCAAACTTGCTCTAGCTCTATAAGGGTTGCAAGCCACCTATCCAACAATTCTAGTTGCTATGATCACTAGGGACACAAGAGGCTAAGTTGCTACTCACTAAGAGCTCTCAAACTCGCTACACTAAAGATCTCCACTAAATTAACTTAAACTACAAAGCAAGCTTTCAATTCTAGCTACACTAAAGAGTTTGCTACAACTAGTTTGTGAGAATATAAATCAGTGAGCAGGATGATTATACTGCCGCGTAGAGGAGTGAACCAATCACAAGATAAATACCAATTCAATCAACGGAAGAATACCAAAGGGCAAGAGACAACCAATTTTTCTTCCAAGGTTCACGTGCTTGCTGACACGCTAGTCCCCGTTGTGTCGACTAACACTTGGTGGTTTGACGGCTAAGAGGTGTTGCACGAACCTCGTCCACACAATTGGACACCGCAAGAACCTACCCACAAGTGAGGCAACTCAATGACACGAGCAATCCACTAGAGTTACCTTTCGGCTCTCCACCAGAAAGGCACAAGACCCCTCACAATCACCGGGAGATGGCCACGAACAATCACCAACTCGTGCCAATCCTCCTCCGCTGCTCCAACTATCTAGGTGGTGGCAACCACCAAGAGTAACAAGAAATTCACAGCCACAACGATCCCCAAGTGTCACTAGATGCAATCACTCAAGCAAATGCACTTGGAATCACTCCCAATCTCACTATGATGATGAATCAATGATGAAGATGAGTGGGAGGCGTTTGCTTAGACTCACAAGGATGTCAAGTATGTCAAAGTGCCAAGGGGGTGAGACCCAAGCTGGCCACACACTATTTATAGATGGCCCCTTGAAATAGAGCCATTGCTCTGCTCATGAGCTGACCGTACGATGCGACCGGACACGGCCCTGAATCCGGTCGGGTGAGTCCGGTCACCCGATGCCATCCACGTGTCATGCCTTTCAATGTCGCTCGTTCATCTCCAACGGCTAGCAGCTGATTCCCCAACGGTTAAGTTACGACCAGACGCGCCTGAGAAAACGACCTAACGCCACGCTACTCAGGGTCCGGTTGAGTCCAGTAAGCACCCCGAGGGTTTTTTCTTGGACCGTTCGGTCGTAGGTGACCTGACGCCCCCGGCGTCTGGTCACCACTCTGTCTCTCTGTGCTCACGCGTGGTGCCTACGTCAGCATACGTCAGGTGAGACCTGACGCACCAGCATCGTGTCCGATCACCACCAGCTCGCCAGCCTTCAACAAGTGACCAGACGAGTAGGTGGAACCAAGTCTAGCGGCTGGTCCAACCTTCACGCTCTCGGCCAGCTGCGCTGCTCGGCTAAAAATGACCAGACGCGCTCGGGGCGAGTCCGGTCACCCCACGACCAGCGTCCGGTCGTGGACCTTCTCCTCTTTTTCTTTTTCTAAGTCAACAACCACTTCACCCTTGCTTCCAACTTGCTAACCACGAAGTGTAGAACTTGTGTGCACGTGTGTTAGCATTTTTCAAAGCATTTTACAAGGGTCATGGTTAGCACACTAGGTTCCTAAATGCATGTGCAAAAGTCATGCCACCTAGTGACACTCGATAAACCGTTTAGCCAAATATTTGCCTTCTTTATAGTACGGCTATCGATCCTAAGTCACTGACACCCTCCATGGCGTCTTGAGTGCAAAACAAAAACCTATCTTATACCTTTGCCTTGATCTTCTTAGTTTTTGTTTTTCTCTTTCTTCTTTTCCAAGTTAGAGCTTGATCATCATCAACACATGTCCATCTTCATCTCCATGGACCTTCACCTTGCTCAATCACTTGGATTGCACCAACCTAGCTCATATCATCGCTCATGACAAAGGTTAGTGCTAGGTTTCATCAATTATTCAAAACCAAACTAAATCTTTTAGGATGGTTCTACCAGAGAGGGTGTAAATGGGACTCGTTGGGTGTTGCACGCACCGATGTTGTCCGGTGCTTACTAGACAAGCCACCAGAGCTCTAAAATGGGGGAACAACTAGTTTCAGAGCTGTTGGAAACCTCAGGTGAGCTCGCTGTAGCTATTTGAAGAGGGTAACAGTTGTCCTTGGTGTGGGGCTATAAATAGGACTTATGGCCAGGCTTTATCACTCTCCTATAGACCCTAGCTAATGCCACACCCTTGAGAGCTTGAGAAACACAATCTAGTCATTTTGATTGCATTAGATCACATTTGGGTGGGATTGGTGACACTCTAGTACATTTGCATCGTTGATTTGGATCTTGTCGCACTAGTTGAGCGTGACGTCATTGGTTGTTCTTGTTACTCTTTGTCATTATCGTCACCTAGCTGGCATGGAGATTGTTAGATTGTTGAGGGGCTTGTGGTGATTGTTTGTTGCCTCCGATCAAGTTGTTGTCTTGTACCTACGAGAGATCACGAAGAGCAATTCTATTCTAGTGTACACTTGTGGCTTGTTGGAGTGCTTATTGTGTTTGATTCTTGTGGCACCCAAGTTGTGGGTCTAACTTGAGCGGCTAGTTAGCGTGTGAATCATCACATTAAGACTTGCAATAACAAGGACGTAGGCTGCCGGTAGGCAACCGAACCTCAGGGACAAATCTTGTGTTCATGTCT